TCAAGCATTAATTTTCAACTTTGCTAGCTTCTTCCAAGTAAGTAGAAACCTTTCTTAGACAATTTCATACTTGGAAATCATTGTGCGTGCAGTATTTTTAGAGTATTTCAGTAAGAATTCTCATGTATAGGAGATGTGAGCTCCAAGGCTAGAAAGAAAAAAGGGAAGCTAAAAGGAAGAAGGCTTAAGCTTTTGGAGTGAAGGGTTTTGTGCTATTACTCTTTTACGTTTTTTTAATTCATTTCGTTACATGATTAAATTTTGGTGAATGTGTTGAAAATGAGTATTGATCATGTTGTGCTTATGTTGAAGTTTGAAAAGGAGTGGAACTTTGGAAACAACCATAGTGAAAAAGCATGCAGATGAAATGGAATAAATGAGTATGAATATGGAGTTCATTGACTGAAGACAAAGTGGTTGCTGACAAAAGTTACTTAGTTTAACTTCTCCTTGATTTTTACCCCATAATGATGGACATTAGGAAGTGTCATTAGAAGAGTTATTTGTTCCCTCTATGTGTTAGCTTTACTATGAGTTTTTGAATCACCCAAACGAGGAGTTATATATTGAGAAGATATGCGATCAAAAGAGATACAGACTATGCATGCTGGGAAAAACGCGCAGCGCGCGAATTGGCATGAAGAGCTCGCGGATTCGCGACTTTCATTGCTGCGGCTCGGACTTACCTAAAACCTTCCTCTGACTTCTTCAGTTTGGTGCTTTACGCGGCTCGCGAGTTTTGCACTACGCGCTCGCCTATTAGCCCCTTGGCATCGTAAGGCGCTCGCGAACCTTCCTCGCGCCGCTTCCTGCCGAATTTGGCCTGGAAATACACTGTTCTCTCCTTTTTGCATTCTACGTGCGCTCGCGACTTTACAAGTGCTGCGCTTTGCGACTCTGTGGACCCCGATAACACAAGGAGCTTCACATTATTTTGGCATTCTCGCGCTTGGCACTTTGAAGACGCCGCTCGCGAAATTGTTGTTCATGCACTTTTGGACTTCTTTTTCAATGCCAATTTGTAATTCTTTTGACCTCAACTTATATGCCTCCAATCCCAATTTTAAACAAAAGACAACATCTTAGGAATCATGATTCAAAAACCAACATGCCCAAGGGCATTGCAAATGATGTGAAATGAGTTGTTAAACACAAACTTGAATTGTTATTCTATGCAATTGGTGAACCTGAAATGTGACATTGGTGTGTGAAGTTATGAAATTCTATGCAATTTGTATTCCTTTTCTCAACCCTTGTATGTCTTTGATGTTAACATCTTCTATCCCATCTACGCCGTTTCATTCTAATCTATCCAATCCACATCCCGTCCAAATTTTTAAAACAAATGTCTTCAATCATTTTAAAGCAAAAAGACAACATGAACACATGTATAAACACAAAATGCAAGCATGCAAATGGTGTGAAACTAACATGACACAAGTTGTCCGCTTGGCGAGGCTATCAGCATACAGGTAAGCAGTAAATTTTATGAAATGATGAAGCAGTTAATTTTATGACAAAAGCAAGTGAAAATAACATGACACAAGCATGCAAATTATGACACAGTTACTATGCATTTGTTTTATCCATTGACATACCAACATTATGCTCCATTGAGGTTAGGTAGAAACCATGTAGATAAGGCTATGTCGCGACATAGAATAGCAGATCTGCACCCCATACAGTTTTACGCCCTACTCATGCTCATACCGAGGTTTGGCTTACTCAGCTACAGCCGTGCTGGACCGTGGATTGTTATGATAATATATTTCCGTTCGCGCCATAGCAGCCAAGCATTACTAGGTCTTCATCGTCTAATTATTACAGTTTTTACGTATCACTTTCGTTATTACCTCATAGCCCTTTATGAAGCTCTATTATACAAGATATTCTTTGACATGACATTCGGCATGCAAAGGCTTACAGACGAGATAAAATCAAGCTAAGAAAATATCATTCAATGCACGTAAATGAAACAAACAGCTTCAAGTATTCATGATAGTGGTTGTGGCTTACATTCCTACATGCTGGTATAGATATCATAGTTTATTTCTACTATATGTATGGTGTCTCTATATGTTTTCTTATATTCATTTGTGATATTATCTTGAATTTTTAATTAAGGTTGCTAGTAAATTGATTACTTCAGGCATAAAGAACATAACACGGGTAAGATCATGGATAAGAGTATACTTGCGTACTATCATAAGACTTTACAAGATGTTTTATTAAATTTTGAATCGTTAACCATGATCATTGGCAGATCGTTATTACATCATAAACGGTTATTGCAAGTGCATAGTCATGATACAGCACTACAATGAATAGGCACAAGGCTAGACACTCTATTGAAGATCCAGGTACACTATATCCTGTTATTGGGATTCTTACATGTTTAGTTTATTTCATTTCAATCAACACACATCTTAATTGGAACATGCACCGATAAGATCATGGATTAGTTATCATAAGCTGTCCTGTGATTAAAGGAGTTTATGAAGATTAATTAGACAAATTATTTATGGTGTAGAAGGTTTATTCTTTTGCTCATAAGAAGATGGCATTTGAATGTTTTTGAAATTACTTGAAAATCTAATGATTTTCCAGCATGCTATTATGCAAAATTTGATAATTTTCATAGTATGTTGCCATCACCACTTTGTTAAGGTATGGTGAATTTGGAGCCGGACCACTGTAGTTTCATACTCAGCGCGTCAGATTTTTAGTTATCACGCGGTTTAGTGGTTGAAGATCGTGGTTTCTTCTTTACTTTTGAAATGACTTGAAAAGAGTTTACTATCAAAGCAGAATGCTTATTAATTTGGGTAAGGTAGTAGATTGAGAGTTATATAATTTAAGAATTTTAGCAGTGTATTAAGCATTCTATGGCATACGTGTATAATTTATTAACATTTTGTTAGCTAGTCTAGTGATATGTAAATATAAAGTGAAAGGCATCCTGTTAATTACGTTCGGTTATAAATGTTAGTTGGATGTTTGTATTATTTAATTACACTCTACGGTATTGAAACTGAGCCACCTTGCTATGAAGATTGACAATAATCTGTTACTATAGTTTGTGATTGCATTAGCGTTCCTGAAGATAACTTGATATTCAGATTACTATGCATTCGCACTAATTTGCTTGCTATTACATGATGAATGGAGGATGATCTACAGTTATGACTATTGAGTATATATAAAAGATGTGCTATTGTGTTTTGGGTGATGATTAGATGCGACGCATATTTAAAATTTGGAGGTTTTAATTGCGGAAGTATGTTTGAATTTCATAGTTAGAGGCGTACAGGTGATATATCAGCATGACAGGATGAGCTCTCAACCAGATTTGTAGCGTTCTTCGGCTCGGCTTCATCTGTATATTGTTAGCGGTGGACCGGGAAGGGATGCTTAACAAAGCTTTTGAGTTCATTAAGATATGTTATCCAAATATCGATAGATTTTAACTTTAGTCATTCGCAAATACTTACAGATTGATATCTTATACGAATAGTTAAATCTTTGTCATTTTTTTTTAGTCAAGCAATTTCATTTAAAACTTATTATAAGACATGTATTTTTTCAAAACATGATAATATTATACTTTAGATATATATCACTATGCTATTTTCTATCTATAGGATGATATCAGCATGACAGGACATGAGTTCAACCAGATTGTAGCGTCTCGGCTCGGTTCATTCGGGTTAACGGGTGGACCGGGAAGGGATGTTACAAAGCTTTTGGAGTTCATTAAGATATTGTATCAAATATGATAGATTTAATTTAGTCATTCAAATATACAGAATTGAATTCATGAAATTTAAATCTTGTCATTTTTTTTAGTCCAAAGGCAATTATTTAAATTATAAATGAATTCCAAAAAATATAATATTAATTAATTAATATAATTAATTATTCTATTTTCATTTGAACGGATGGATGGATAAATATAATATTAACATAATTAGTTTACGAATGTATATTGCAACTTCAAAGAATGAATTGTCATGCAATATTTAGAAAGATGAGGAACGCAATTTGCACATCAAAATATAGTCTAGCAATAAGTATATATACGACCTAATAATAAATTTAGATTCGAATATTCTTTTCTCAATACTCAATAAAAAAGAATATAGTTTTATTTTCCCTTAAGCAAGTGTATTATAAGAATAAAAAAATAAAAAAAATAAAAAGTCTAGTTAATTTTTTCACTAGTGCGAGGAGTAAAAGATCTCGAGTTCAAGTTCTCTCAATCATAAAAGTTTTTACTAATTTGGTAATATTTATTTGAGAAAAGTTCTCTAGTTTGTGATTAATCACGTCAACTCTTTTGTATGATGAACCCATACATCTAATGGCCAATAATTAATATTATAGAAACTGACTAATTAGTACACTTAACTTTATTGCAGGCTTTAGAACCCATCACTCTGAAAAGATTAAAAAGGCATTTGATGATGAATTGTTAATCATGCGCATGCTTATTATTATCATATAATTATACAAGCAGATATAAAGATATGCAAACATCTGTTTAGTCCCACGCTCAATGATTGTTCTCTTATTAATTTTCTTTAATTTAATTATTATCCCCTTGAAAAGTTCAAGAAAGTAACATAAATAAAAATAAAAATAAAATATTAAAAGAATTAGTAGAGTTTATATTAATTTTGTAAAACCCTTCAAAGCTTTCTGCACCATATTTATAATCTCATTTCATATGGTCGCTCATAATGTCAAATAAAATTTTGATTTATCTTTTATATTTATTCACATTTTCTCCATAATTTTTTAACATGACTAATGAGTTTTAATTCAGTAGTATTATAATTATTATAATCATTTTTAACGTTATGAAATTATAAATTTGAGTTTCAATAGAGATGAAATTGAGTAGTCTTTCTTTTGAATTTATCATTAATTATTAATTGAGGAAAATATACTTATTTCTATTGAAATGTATCCAACAGCAACCAAATACGAAAGCAAGGACATGATTAAACAAACATTTATTTATTTTGCGTAATTACATACTCTGGAAATAATCCAGACCTAGACACAGAGAACTTAATTATACAAAACACACTTAATTTTTCTATATGTAACACACATCTTTAGGGTTCAAAACTTCGGATATATATATATTTATGCTATGGCTAGGATGATAATATATATAATAAAAAGCTTAATTATTCATTTATATAGTTATATGTATACTACTAGGTCTTCATTATGGGTTGCTAAAACCAGCTTTAATTTGGTATGAGCTTGAAAGGAGGCCTAACAAGAGATGGTGCTGGATCATAGTTTCCATAGTCTTTGGTATTAGCTCTTAGAACCCTTTCATGAAACATACTTGCTTCATCCTTGTTTGATGATTCCTGCGAATTATGTAAAATTCAATTTTATCGAATTAAAAATGGTTGTTTTGTTAACTAATTATGATATACATATTATATTATTAAACAAATAAAAACAAATGAAACCCAAGAAAATTTATCAAGCTTTCTTTATAATGGTTTTGTTAGGTTATTACTAATGGGGAGGAAAAAGACTTTGTAATTATAAAGAAAAACCAACAAGTGGTTAGATTAGTAGAAATGAACTACATCTTCAAGCGAACTTCAGTTAGAAATTCAAAATCTGAAATCGTTACTGTTGGAAAGAACTTTACTTGAATATTATTGGCCAGAGTGTGAAACCAGATGTATATTTACCAAAAAAAAAAGAAAAGGATATAGAAAAGAAAAGGAATATATTTTTGATTGTAATCAGCCACAAACCTCATAAGTGGTATCTATTTGGTAGGCCGACTTGTCCACAAACTTGGAACGTCTACCTGCAAACCATTAATTCGAAACATAAGAAAAAAGAAAGGATAGTTAATTAACATATAATGTACCAGTAGCTATAAGAGAACCCTAAACAAGAACGCACATGTTCACTACAGCATGTTAAACCCTAGCTAGCTTAGCTAGCACGAGTAGAAGGTGAAAATACGAAAACCAAACACTGTTTCTGTCTTTAGGTGAAAAAAAGTCTTAATGAGGTTTGACTTGAGATTACAAGTTGAAACTCGAGCCAAATTAGTTAAAAACAAAGAGACTCTTAGAATTTTTAATCATATTCAATTTCATCTCACTTAGATTGGAATTCCCATTCATATTCTGAGATAATTCTATCACCATGAACTTAAAACTCCTTAGTGCTATGCAAAGTATCTATAACCCAATGGTGAGGTTAACGTAAAGGCTGCATTAGCAAGAGAAGAGAATGCACCTGCAAAAGAAGTTGACAGAAATGATGCAGAAAGAAGAAGGAAGACAAGACAGAAGTTCTTGAGAAGCATAAAACCCATGTTAATAAGCTGTAAGAAAATACTTTTGTTTCTTTTCTAAGCTGGAAGATTGATCTTTTTTCTCTTCCAAAAGAGAATATTGCCTAAACGAAGCTTCCTTTAATCTATAGTGCTAAAGTGATTGCCAATTACAATGGCAAACCTTGATGCTACAAAGTGCAAAATGATAGTTTATTTATATATATAATTAAAGAAAATGACACTCTTGCTTTTTATTTTAATACTATTATAGTATTCAAAATGGAAAAAGGTGAAGAAGACCACTTTTCTGCTGTTGGGGCACTAATAAGTCTTCGTAGTTAGTGGATTTATACAGTAGCTAATTAAAATATACAATAGTATTGAGTATGACCCCTAGTTGAAATTACTGAAATATCCCTCAATTTGGATTCAGTTTATTCTAAATTTCTTACTACAACTTCATACTAACTTGTAATAATAAATTAATCATCATGGGGTTAATATAATTTACATGTCTTTGAACTTTGAATTCACTGGGTTTCTAACATAACGACATTAGAGGCTTTAAAGCCAACAATTTCTAGTGATTTTCCTACCAAAAAAAGAATCCTAATTGTAACAAACAAAATACGGTCCCAACTAATCAAACAATGGCAAAAGGAAATTTTGTGATTATAATATGGAATTAGTACAAAATTCAGCGATAATTAGAACAATTTGTTTTATAATTGTGTTTAATTAAGCAAAATTTAGAAAAATAATAACCAAAAATTTTACATATATTTTTTTTTTCTAACCGAAAAATATAATGTTAGAATCCATGAGAATAAAGTTGAGTTTATTTTCTAGATATCTTATCTCAAGAGGTTCAGAGAGTTTTAGCTCAGCTACGCAACTTTATTTTTTATTTTTATTTAGGTATTAAGTCAATCAATACTAAAAGATTATTACTGATCAATGAATTAGATAGTTTTTCAATGTTATATACCCTTTTATGATTTGATATTTGAACAATTTGAGATTCTTAAGCTATGTTCGGTAATAACTTTATAAGTAGCTTTTAATGTTTTGAAACGTTATTTTTTATAGTGTTCGGTAATATATCATTTGAACTAACTTGGTTAAGGTAGTATTTTATAAATAGTTAACTTATGTAACGTTTAACTTTTATCGTTTTATAAAAAACTACTAAAACAGTCAACAGTTAAACGCTACTAAAACAGTTAATACTACCAAAATAGCTAATTTTGTAGAACACACCTTATATGATCTGGTCTTATGGTCTTCAAATTTGAGGAAATTTGGAGGGTAGAACAGTATTTAGAGCATTCAGTTATAAGTAACCTGAAAAGGGTAGCAGTGGAAACTAAGAATAGATAGTTTAGTGATTAGAGGGTTTTTTGTTTTTTGATGTGCCAAAAAGCAGAATTAGGTTGGCATAAAAATAGCTTTTGCGGATGAGTAGTGCCTCCAGTTACCCATAAAGACAAGGACAACCCACCAAATACAACTGAGAAGACACTGGTGGAGAATAAAGCTCTACCAATTGTAGGGTTTTTTTTTTTTTTTTTTAAAAAAAATTAAATAGACTTATCTATTTCTCTATTTTACATTAAAGGTGCTCTTAGGTCCACAACCCTTCCCTAATTTGAGTGAATCCTACTCCTTCCTTGTTCTATATTTCCAGTTATTGCTCTATCTTATTCAAAACTTATCAAATTACTATCATTGATTTGCAAAGTTTGGGTTGGAAATTATATAAAATATCAAACTTTAAGCTTCCGACATTTATGTAAGATTTATGTCGTTTCAGAATTCTGGGTTGATTTTATATAAATATACAAAATTTTTAGTTAAATTATCAAATGTTTGCTTCATAATATAGATGATTGTGCTAATCTTGAAAGATTATTTAAAACACATTTATTTTTTATTATCACTTTTATTTGGTTTCACCTTTCATAGTTTTAGGTTGATCTTTTTATGTTGAAAATGAACATACTATTTTATGGACATTGGGTGCACTCAATAATTGTTCATCAATGCATTTGAATTGTAAAAAAAAAGAAAGGGTTTGAATAGATTTGCATAGAGTAATTGGACAAGTGTTACTTTAGGGTCACAAATTTCAAAATCATGATCTTGGTTTGATGTTTACGTATAACATCTGGAACTTGTATCTATGAGTAAACTAATAAAAAGAATGCTTTGTATTTTTAATTTAAAAGCTTGAGAGTATAGAGTAATGGAAGAATGACATCAACTGTGATCGATGAGAGTTATAAATTAAATCTCTATTAGGGCATGCTTAGTTCCATTTTTAGTGTCTGCCACTCAAGAAAGCAATACTACCCCATTTGAATGATTTGTTTAGCTTGCTATAGAATACCATAATTTGATCTTATCGTTTAGGTATTTGAAAATACAAATAGTCTGTATATTCGAAGAATGCCATATGGGTTTGGATAATGATTGTTTAATCAGAGTATAATAAGACTTTTTTAGGAGATATTATTGCTTAGATTAGTTCATGCATGATAAGGCATATTTATGACTCGAATCTGAGATTAAGAATATCAAGAGCTTGTTAATTTGGTTTAGTTGTTCACACGAACCGATAACAGATACTTGTTGCTAATAGTTGGTAATTATTGGTTGATATAAACGGTTCAAATTGGAATTTTGATTAATTGAGGAGTATTTTTTTTTTTTTTTTTTTTTTTTTTTTTATTGGCGGGACAAGTGTCTTTAGGGGTCACAAAATTTCAATCATTGATCTTGTTTGATGTTTACGATATAACATCTGGACTTTTGTATCTATGACGTAAACTAATAAAAAGAATTGCTTCTTGGTATTTCTAATTTAATAAGCTATGAGAGTACGTAGAGCGTAATGGAAGAGTCTCGATCTTCAGCCGCCCTCAGCATGACTATTGCAACCCTGAGGTGCCCTGATTCCCCTTAAGCACTCTATCTCTAACAGCATGAGAGTTTATAAATTTAAATCTCTGATTTAAGAGGCGATGCCTTAATCGCAATTTTTTAGTGGTCTGCCACTCAAAGAAAAGCAATACTACACCCCATCTTGGTTGATGATTTGTTTATTAGCCCTTGCTATAGAAACCGTTACATTTGTAATCTTAATCTGTTTAGCGGTTAATTTGGAAGAATTACAGAAGATAGGTCTCGTTAAGCTAATTTGCGAGCAATGCCATGATTGTGCTTGGTATAATTGATTTTAATCAGAGTATAATAAGGGACTTTTTTTAGTGACGATATTATTGGGCCTCAGATTAGTTTCAGCGTCTGATCGAAAGCAATATTGTTAATGGCACATTTCGACATCTGTGAGCATTAAAGACAAGCGCGTATTCAAGAGCTTGTTAAACTGTGTGGTGGTGTTAGCTTGTTTCACATACGTAAGCCGCGAATAACAGCATTAACTATTGGTTGCCTAATAGTTTTGGCTTTTAAATTAAAATGGGTGTTGTGGATTAATAACCGGTTCAAAATTTGGAATTTTGATTAATTGAGGAGTATTTTTTTTTTTTTTTTTTCTTTTTTCTATTTTTTGCAATTTGATGTAGTGTAAAATGTAAACTCGTTGTCATCAGAAAAAACTTACTCAGCCAGTCCCTTGGAACATACTTCTATAACCATAAGGCAATCGCAGCTCAAAAAGAACGACCCCGTCCAAGAATATCGAGCATACCAAAAACCTGCTCCCCCATAAGATCTAGTGGAGTCTGGCTTTTTTTTTTTTTTTTTTTTTTTTTTGCATTGATGGTATGTAAATGTAACTCGTTCATCAAAAAACTACTCAGAGCTCCTTGGAACATACTCTAACCTAGGTGCAGAAGAGCCAATATCGAGATACCAAACCTTCCCGTCAATATAAATTCTTGGGGATGATCGGCTTATTATCCCTAGAGTAATTTTTATCCATTGAAAAAGACCAAATCTATGGAACAAAAATCTATGCTCTTTAGTTGATGAATGTTAAAAAATTTTAAAATATATATTATACATCTAATATAAAAAAAAAATAACCTTAAGTAATAGTCATTTTACATTTTGAACATCAAAAATTACAATTTTATCAAACATTAACATTTATCAATTAATAGCTATTATCCATCAACTACCAATTATCAATAATCGCTATCACTTTAACGGATCCTTAGCTCCATTTTTAAAAAAATTAAATTATGTCTCACCCATTCGGGTCGGATAAGATCGGATATCGAGCTGGAGGATTAAAATGAGCATGCCTATAACTACAGCCATTGAGTTCTTTTTTTTTTTTCATAATTGGTGGCAAATATAGTATCCGTGCACATTTGAAGTGTTGAAAAATATATATGGTTTGAATTAATTTGACAAAGTGATTTAGAACAGATGTGTCAACTACTAACATTCAAATTGCATCACTCTTTTTGGTATTCTATGATGGTGATTTAAAAGCATATAGTGAAATCATTTGCCAATTCCAGTTTTACATCAAGAGATTTGAAATAGACAATTTAGTGCTAAAGTCTGCGACTGTTGACTAATTTCAACCGTTAGATCAAGTAAAAGATTTTGATTCAGTGATTGAAATTTCATACACTAACCTTTATCATGCGCCAAAACATGCGCACACCAAATCATTATTTTTGGATAAAATTCCATTACCATCAAGTTTCCAAAATGAATACAGCCTTTTATTTCACCTAATTCTTGACTTTTTTTTTTTTTTCCTTTTTTTTTAATCACCGTCTATTCAGAAGGTCACTTAATCTGGCTCGGAGCTTAGTCACAGTTAAGACTTTTCGCTCCTCCATGCAAGTGTATTCAATGTAAATCAAACTCGAAAGTTCTTCCCACGTGCCTGGTCTATATTGCTAACTGAGCTACAATCCATAACTTATAAGTAACTAACTCTTGAGTTTATAACCATAACCTGGTCATAAAATTGATCACTAGAGTTTAGTGAGCTTTTCGTTTATTTGGTCAGTTTTGGGTTAACTATTAACAAAACTAACTAAATTTCAATTGTCAATAATGGAATTAAATCGAAAGTAGACAGAAATCTAATTCTCTAATTATCTAAATAATTATTAAATAATTATTAAGTTGAGGATATAATTGTAATTAGATTGATAATTTCAGGATATCTGTCCAAGACAAAAAAAATCAATTTACAGTAAAATTATAATCATGAAAAGTTTATCAATGGTTAGGCGTTTAGGGTTATTTCTTTCCATTATTATTATAACTATATGTTGATATTTTATTTATTGGATCTCCACAATTATAATTCTAGATTGCCTTTTTTCTTCATTCGTTTATTTTTTCTTTTCATTTTTCTTGGAAATCAAACACAGCAACAAACTCAATACACATATATAAATACCCACGCGTATGCTTCCTGAATGGTTATACATTAAAATTTTTTTTATTTTATAGTACATCTAATTAATTTTTGTGCATGTGTAGAGTTCATATCAGCAAAAAAAGAATGTGATCAATGATGTGTTTTTTTTTTTTTTTTTTTTTTTTTTTTTTCATTTTTCTTGGAAAATCAAACCATCAGCAACAAGCTCAATACCACATATTATTATAATATACCCACCGCGTATCTTTCACTGAATGGTTTTATACATTCAAGAATTTTTTTTATTTTTATAAGCTACATCTAATTAATTATTTGTGCATGTGATAGAGTTTCATATCAGTGACAAACAAAAAATGGGGTGGATCGGAGAGTGGTGTATGTGTTTTTTTTGTTGTTTTTTTGATTTTTTTGGTTTAGGTTTTAGGGGTGGAATTACAGTGTTTTTGCCTCTTTTTACAGAAATAGGATTTTGGTCCAGTCGACTCTGGCAACAAGGGAACAACGAAATCATGACACGGAATGGATCCTCATCCCACCAACCGAAACCTTAATTTGAATGAAAGTAATTTTTTTTTTTTTTTTTTTTTTTTTTAGGGTTTTAGGTGTCAGAATACAGTGTTTTTGCCTCTTTTAAATCGGTTTGTCCAGTCAGACTCTGGACAAGGAACCAAACCGAAATCAATTGACACGGATGGATCCTCATCACCAACCGAACCTAATTGATGAAAGTACCCAGAATATCCAAATTAACTGAATAAACTGCACCAAATTCTTACCCACATTAATAACCTTTCAATATTTTTGGGGACAAATACTATTCAATCCCAGAAATTTGAGCCTAATTACTACTAATTTGTCCCTCTTTTTTTAAATAAGAGCAATGCTAAGTAATGCTAAATGGCTCAACTCTCAATGTAGTGAGGCAAACTGTCTAAAATATCCTCAACAGGTCCAATATCTAAACTATCACCTTTGAATGGAATAACTAAATAGCTTAGCAGAGCAAAACTTTACAAATGAATCAATATATTTACCCAAAAAAGAAAAAAAAAAAGAACCAAGTAATAATTAAGATAAAATCTGAAGACTAAATAATATTTATCCTTATTTTTTCAATACATAATATTTGTTCATGTCCTGCCAATTCCATTTTTCTCTCCAAAAAATTTGGATTACTTCGGTTTTGATTTAGACAAGGCTCAAGAGCTTACCAATAAAATAAAATATTGCATAGCATCAAACATATTCCAAAATGAATCAAGAAACCATTTTTAACATAATGCAATTGGTCATCAACTCAATGTTCCGAGTAAACAGAAGGATATAAAGCTACAGATACAGAACCAAACATTTCAAAAACTGCATTTACATGGAAGAAGAGAAATGACATCGAATACATACGAATATGACTATGATGATGAAGCAGCACCTAGCTTGTCGGTTTCATGGCGCAAGCTGTTTTCCCTAATATAAGCACTTTTGGCACCCTGAGAAGCAGTGAAAATTTGACTTGGTGAGATGTAAATTCAACATATAACAATGAAGTATCACCAGTATAAGCCAATGGTGGAAGATGGAAAACTGCACTCACTTGAAAGATTGTTCCAAGTTTTTTCAATCCTTTGGCCCGGGCCCTCAGAACATCCTTCGACACGCTAGGGTCTTTAAGTACCTGAAATAGTATAGTATATGCAGTTGACAGATCATTTGTTTTCATGGTAAAAATGCACGTATGCAAATGACTATATTTTTTAAGGTCAAAAATTCATATTAGAATGTCTCTACAATGAAGCTCAGGGATAAGTGATAACAGTTTCCAAATTGTCAGAGATTTCAGCAAAAATTAACTCTTCATGAGCTAGAGAATGAATGGCAACTTACTGCTAGGCAAACACGTGATAAAGTTGACTCAATGTCAACCACATTGATCTGCCAAAGGGACTGAAGCATAGCATCTTTTCTATCCTCAATGGCTTTCATTAAATTCTCCTCTTTGTTTTCTGTTTGGTTCAACTTCTTGAGATCCTCCTGTATTTGAATTAAAGAAACAGCACCTAGAAAAAAGATATAAAAAAGAAAAGTTTATTTGTTTGTTTTTAGCTTTGAATAAAAATTGAACAAGCTCGAAGCATTTTTACTAAGAACTGCTCCAATAATGGAAGAATACTATACCTGAAGCTGCCATCACTTGTGATTTTAAACTGTGTCCTTTATCTCGCACCCATTCTGCTAAAAATGGTACTTTCATGTACCTTTTATCCTTTCCAAGCTCTCTAGCAGCTTTCCTCGTGTAAATGTACCCAATGGTATGCAGCATTGCCTCACCAAATGCTGAAGGAAAAACAAGAATTATTTTAAAAGTTTAACAAAAGTTAATGCCAATAGAATGAAAAACATAGCAGGAAGTGAACTCAAGAAGTCATTTTCAAAGTGTTTGGTTGCATGCAGGGCCAGACAGGAGGGTTGGTGAGGGAAGCTGAATTACAGCAAAGGAGGAAAGTCATATCTAAAATAAAAGGTCAGAGAAACAAAGTGCGACCCATTTAATTATAAAATATGGAGTTTCCCCATTTAATTATAAAGATATGGAGTTTCAACATACTTAGATTGTAACATCTTCAATTTGATTACATTTTAGATATTAATTATATATTAACCTCTGCAATATTATATTATAATTTTTTTTAAATAAAGAGAAAATTGTAGAACATTTTACCCCTTTTAAAACTTGTACTTCAATTGATAATGACATATGAATAGAACTATGACTTCTAAACCAATAAAAATCAGCATATTTTAAGGCAAGTATCATGAGTTTTCCTAAGTAATTGAAAAAAAAAAAAAAAAAAAGATAATGAACACTACTGAATCAGAACTATGACTCTTCCTACAACCAATAAAAATCAGCATATTTTAAAGCGCAAGTATCATGAGCTTCCTAAAGTGAATTGAAAAAAAAAAAAAAAAAAAAGCAACCATCAAATCTAATGGTATCTCAAAAGGTTAGCACCAAAATAAGGCTATTATTTACGAAGCAAATAAGAAAAAAAAAAAAAAAAAAAAGAACATCAATCTAATGGTATCTAAAAGGTTAGAACCAAAATAGAGGCTATATTTAGAAGAAATAAGGATTTTGAAACTATTATTATTATTAAGAACAAAATTGGAACAGAATGAAAAGGTCAAAGTAAGATGGTTAAAATGAGAAGGGACCAAAATAGAGAGAGAGACCATAAAAAGGCTAAAATGGAAAAGGATAAAGTTCTGGGCCAAAATAAGAAGAGGCTAAAGTTGGAGGGACCAAAATGCCAAAAAAAAAAAAAAAGCTAAGTAAAGGGGGAAAATTTTGGAAGAATAAAAGAAGTGGGGATAAGGGAAGGGGGACGCCAGAGAAGTCCACATGGCCCTTCCACGCATAACATGGGTCTGTCACTGTTTGCAAGGAAGTATAAAATCAAGAAGTGGTGAGGGGTTCCTAAGTTCAACTTCCCTGGTGGAAATAAAAGGAGATTATCCAAGTGCTTTTGAACAATTTCCTAAAACAAATTATGCGGACAAAGCTAAGGGTATCATTGTACTAACAACATACTTTACAAGAAGTTAGCAAGTGAATCAAACAGAAAATGTGCACGTTTGAACCAACTGATGCTCCAAATAAAAAGTTATATAGAAGGCATAAGTTTATGGCATTTTTCTTATAAGAGAAAATTGACATGCCTTCCCTTGTCTCCTTTTCCTTTCAATCCTTTTTCTCCTTTTTTGTTTCTTTCATTTTTCTGAGAATCCTTCTCTTCTCCCCAAAAAAGAAACGAAGATCACCTGTAGATCCTTATTGTTTCTATTGTCTCCTATGCTCTTCCATTTGTTTCAATGTTCAGTTAAAATAAGAGAGAATATTTTGTCAAAGAAATTTACTGTTTCACATCCACATTGAAAAACCTGTAACTGCTAACTACCAAGAAACCTCAACAACAAAACTAATTATAGTGATCTACATCAACCTACTTACTTAACCAGACTGGTGATCCAACAACATTTCCTTAAATGGTCGAGTAAATTTATATTTGAAAACAAAATTGAATGATTTCAGAATCACAATCACTATCTTAACTTAAGGCTCCTAAGGGCCCATAGTGAACTGGAAATAGACAAATTTCAAAGAAATGAAGTGAAGGGATAAGCCCAGACATGGTTGCAGGTTGGTCTGTAAAGATCTACATTGTATTTTGACAGCAAACATTAAATAACCAGCCATATAACATAAGTGGGGAAAAAATGCTATTTTTTTCCTCTGAAGAGCAAAGCATTTATGGAAGGGAACAAGTATATGTGTGATCCCTCGAAGTAATACGTGTCAATCAAACAGACTAAAACCCAACCCCTCTATTGAACACGTGAATTAAAGTTCAAGTCCAAAATACAAGAGAATCGCTCATTAAAAAATGAAGGAAATCAAGCAATAAAAAAATAGAAATAAAAAAAAAAAGATGATAATGATCAGACTCAAAACAAACTTAAGTAAAGAGAGAAAAGTGCCTTTTGGAACTAAATTTCCACGTTTATTCTTCCTTGGTTATCACTATTTGGCCTTAGCGCAATATAAAGCATCAAATTTTGTCACACTGTAAACAACAGTTTTCATGTCTTGGTTTAAGGTACCAATAAAAAGAGTCTTTTCTTTTAATAGTCAAAAGTTCTCAGAATTGTGGTTTTAAAAATAGCACATTATTATACAAAGAATTATACCAGCTGCAGAGAGGCGCTTTGCTTCTGAATTTGCCCAATTTATGAACTCCTCCTCTTGACCTTCAACAAATGGTTCGAGGTGATTTTTCAGATTTGTTATGAGCTTTGCTTCCCTCTCTTTCTGAAGTTCCTGCAAATTAAAAAAATAAAAAAGTTAACCAGGGCTTCAATCAAGTGAATGAAAAAGCTAAAAAATTGCAAAAACATTAATGCAAATGAGTACCCTCAACTTCTCCTGAACTCTCTGCTTGTGGATCTCAACATCTTTTGTGTCTTCCTCAAGTTCAACGCTTGATATTGTAGCCAGTGCAAGTTGGCCAATATAGTCATCAAAAAACTCACTCCCAAATAGCATCCCAAAGACAGCTGCAGGATCCAGCATGGACTCCCTGGAAAAGAGAAGGCACTCTCATGTTTTCTTTTGGAATAGACAATATTTAATAATAAATCAAACAAAACTTAAACAGATAAACCTAGTGGAATCCAGTAATCAAACCAATGGTCCACTCTAATACATAATTTAAGGAGGAACTCTTACCAATAATTCAATGACTATTCATATGATTCCTTTTCTAACATTTTTTTCAGACAACCCTTGAAATCCTCGTACATGGTTTCCCAAGATAAAATAGTTGTCTAATATACAACTGGGAATTGCTACTACTATCTTACAAAGTGCAAGACGGTTTCCATGAACTCGAAGTACTAGTAATCTTGAAATTGTGTTCCAAAAATTATCCAAAGAAATCTAAAAAACTGATAGATACAAAGAAATTTTATTAAGAAAGAAAAATTTAGAAGCACATGATATGATGTATAAACGTACTGCGGTATTCCTTCCTTTCCATGTTTGTCATAAGCTTCCCTCTTCTCAGGATCACTTAAAATCTGGTATGCCTCACCAAGTTTCTTCACAAAAGACCCATAAAGAAGACAATAAGGACAGAAAGAACCAAAAATTACATCAAAGTAGCAAGCTGCAAATAGAACTGCAGTAAATTCTACTCTTTGACTCAGAATCAGATTTATTAGCTAACCTGAAAATTTTCTGCTGCTTTCGGATCACCTGGATTTTTATCTGGATGAACGATCCTTGCCTGTACAAAAATAAATATAGCTATCTCATTAACGGAAAAAAAAAAAAAAAATCATGACCATTTTTCACAAAATTTTCCATCTGTGTATTATTCTGTTGGATATTAATTCCATAAAACAACAATTCAAAAGCTGACAGACACTTAATGGCATGTGTACTCCTCCTGCCTTGTAATGCAAGAGGCCACGCAACTCCTCCACTTTTAAAAATTCCCGATGAACAAAACATATCATGGGCAAAAATGCAGAAAGTGCCATTGGTTTGCATATGCTTCACAATCTTAGCATAGAACCAGAAATTGTGGCAGCAAGATAAGCCTCTTCTTGACAATTTACATTAACCATTTTCAAAAAGCAATAAAATACTTCATTTTCCCTTTAAAATGAGAATGAAGCTATAACCTTTGTAATTAACCCACAGCATAGATTTAAAGGTTGAATTGAAAGCTACCTTGAGGTAATAAGCCTTCTTGATCTGTTCAGGAGTTGCATCCACATTGACACCCAAAATTTCATAGTAAGTGGTATCTTTCACCATTGGTTTTTCTCCAAGGTTACTACTTTCGGTACTAGAGAAGCCAAGAAAATGAATTAGCCTCATTGGGAAATCAAAATCTAAAATAAAACCAACAAAGGAAATTAGCCACAAAAAAATCAAGATATCAAATGGTTAATATGGTTTAATGGAAAACTAAAACAATTTATAAGCATCAAGAATCAAATGGAAGAAAGCAAGAACAAATGAGACTAGCTTCCAAATTATAGAATTGGTCATTATCAAAAGTGGATAAGAAATATTTCCCATGAAATAATGTTTTTGATAGAAACTATGAAAAACTTACAAGGTATGACAAATCTGGATCTTATTAGAAAATTATCCACCAAAAGAAGAACAATTAAAATAGAGCATTAAAAATTAATTTGAAATAGAACAGGCAAGAAGAAAAACCAAAAGAAATTAAAGCCAGAATTGAAATTAAAGAACAGAATCAAGAAACTAGAAACTTACGTTTATGCAACAAAAAGAAAAAAAGAGAGAGAAATAAAAAATTATAGAAAACAAGGCATAGAGAGACTTACTTATATGGGGAAGAAGGAAATATCAATTAAAGCTCAGAATCACAGGCCAAATAAAGGAGAAAAAACTTCAGACACAAATGCATATGTGTTTATGATCTGCTTATATTGGTTCTTTGATTGGCTACTAAAAGAAAAGAATGGCCATGTTTGAGGAAGCAAGTATACGGTGTCGTTTCTTGGAGTGATGCTTCGTGGCAGAGAGGAGAGAGGTCGTGCGTGTCGGTATGGGTACTATTAAACTGAGTTAAGGAACAAAGCCATTGCCAACTTACGCGGTCTGAAGAATTTAATAAGAAAAGCTTTCTCCGAAGTGGACTTTTTTGGTAAAGTACTATTTAGTCCTTCTAATTTAATTAAATTAACTTTTAGTCTATATCTTTTTAAAATATATAATATATCCCTATGTTCTGAAATTGTCTGATAATTTTCTTTGAAAAGACAAAGATAACTCCATATATGTGTAAATTGGAGAAAATTAAACCCATTTTCTTAATGTAAAATAGGTGTTGGTAATTATTATTTTAATACTTATTTATATTGTTTTAAAAAAAATATTTGTTCTTTTAACATAAAGAAGTACAATAGAAATGTGATAAAGAATTGTTTAGCCCTTTATTAAAAATTTGCAGCAAAACAATATAAATTTTGAACCGAAATATTTATTAATTAAAAAAAAAACAACAAGGTCACTTTCCTGTCCTATAAAAAAAAGTAGGGATTAAATAATTAATTTCATTAAATTATAGAGAACTAAATAGTAATTTGCCTTTTTTTAAATTTGAGCACAACATATAATTTGTCCAAAAATTAATTTTTTATACAAATTACCCTTAAACTTGTACTAAAAGTACAAACTGTCCAATTTTTATCCCAAAAAATAAATTATCTAATATAAATCAAATATAATTAAAAAAAGTAATTAAATATTTGATTTAAATCAAATATAATTAAAAAATTATCAAACAAAAAATAATAAATATTTTTCTAGTCAAATATTTTAATATAATCAATTTTTTTCTAATTCTATAATTTTTTTTCAAATCAAATATTTGTTAAGTTATTTTAAAATCAAATACTGTAAATTTTTATAATTATTACACGTTTAAGTATTTTTTATTTTCTAATTTTAAATTTTTAAGTAATTTTTTGTCAGTTAAAACTATAAAAAATAATTTTTCTTAAAAAATTAGATTTTGTCCATTTGGTGCAAGTTCAAGGAAAAAAATAGTACAAAAAGTTATATTTTTTGACAAATCATATGTTGTGCTTAAATTTAGAGGGCAGATTGAGCCTTAATCCAATAAGTAAATATTAGGGTTTGTTATTGGACACAATTGAATAATTGCACGAGTGATGCTTTAGATTGGCAAACTAAATATTATAATGAAGATTGAATTAAATCTTAAAAAAAAATTGTTAGAGTTAAGAACGCAGCATAGAAAAATTAAAGGAGAAGAGAGAAGAAGAAATAGATGTTAGATGACATTAGAGATTGGAACTTCCATTAAATGAGATTTCAGATTTACAAGCATGTCTTGATTGAGGAATAAGAAAGATAATAACAGAAAGGGAAAATAAAGTAAAAAGATGACATTAGAGATTGGACTTCATTAAATTGAAGCATTTCAGATTTACCAAGCATTGTCTTGATTGAGAGGAATAAGAAAGATACAAATACAGAAAAGGGAAAAATAAAGTAAAAAGAAAGGTTTTCAAGCAACCCCCATGACCAGCCCGTACAGGGAGAGACCCCCCTGCCAAAATAAACAAACTCTATATCTTTTTTTCCATACCATCTCATTCCAATCACTAGCTATATATTGATTTTCCCCTAACAGAATCTTGGCTGATGTGTTCTAGCCCTCTTTATTCTTGTTTCTTCTAGAACAAAACCTTGTAGGCGCTTGGGCTTTTTCTCAACAGTCCTATTTCATTACATCCCTTGGGAGGACAAGCCTTGTCCTCAAGGCCTGAAATTAGGGAAATTGCCCCCAACATATCATTCTTCATCGATCCGGTTGGCTTCATTCTTCTATCTTTCCTACACTGTTATTAATAATTGGTGAACTGAGTGATTTTGTTGATTCATTGTTGTACGGTTTTGCAGACCTTTTCAAGCTGGGAGCAGAGGTTGATCTCCATGCGCTATTTAAATTTCTCCGATGAAAGTTATCTAACACAGAGTGGTTTAGCCAATACTTTTTCAGCTGTGAGACATGCGAAAAATAGGTGTATCTTAGCTGTCCTGCCAGGAGTTTTCCAACTTGTAAAGCATACGTGCACCAATCTTGCCAATGATTTCAAATGGCCCACAGGAACCTTGGCAAACAGCTGCATTAACCTTGGTTAGCTACAAGGGATTGTTGACGGTGAGGACGAAGTTTCAGTAATACTTTGTCTCTAATAGACGGAATTGGACATCCCTACGCTTTTTGTTTCGCGTATTTGTCATTAAGCTTGCTGTGGCTCTGTGTAGAATAAAACCTACAGCTGCCTTAAGAATTTCATTTCTTATTTGTAGAGGTGTTGAAGCCAGCTTCAACCCGAGATTCACCTGGCCAAGAATTGATGTAGAGTAGGAGGTTTACGACCATAGACCCAGCGGTTCAAATGGTGTCAAACTTGATGCGCTCCCTTAAGACATTTGTATTTATTACCAGTACTCTGCCCAACATAGCCATTTGCCTCCAATGACTTTTCGTTATCAAAGGAGAAACACCAACAAGTAAGATTCCAAGCTTCCTATTAAGGACTTTTGTTTGGTCATCCGTTGAAGATGATTTAAGAGGAGCTGAACTTGATTTGGTTACCCTGTAGGCCGTTAATAATTCAGTCCAAAAGGCTGGTTCTTAAGAATAAAGGGTCTCGAAGTTCAGTACCATAGACCTCGGAATTGCCAGGAGGCAACAACCTCTCCACTGATTAAACAAGTGTCAGCAACGTTTGGCAGCTGTAATGGATGCCGAAGAGGGATGGAAATGAGCATATTTGGCATAGGGCGATTCGACAACCACAAAGGATGCGTCAACCCATTAGACTTGGGTATCCGTGTGATGAAGTCAAGTGCAAATATCTTCCAAACTTGAAGAGGTACAGGTAAAGGCTTTGCAATAGGACAGCTAGTGATTGAGCTTCTCATATTTGTAGGTCGTTGACAAAACAATACAAGAAGCAACAAAGTCTTGGACTTCATAGCCATCATCCCTTCTCCCTAATTAAAAGTTAGATGCAAATTCGTCGGTAAGTTCGGAAAGCACCCAGGAGATGACTCCCCCACAGCAGTTGATGGCACTTCAGAAATTAAATTTTCGGTATCCAGCTAGTACATGACTGGAAGTATAACCCTGCCTTGTAGAAGAGGCGACCTTGAAATGAATCGAATTATGTGGGCTGGAGCTGTTACTCGGAGAAGAGAGAGCTGAATGATATTGGAAAAGGTGGGCATCTTGTTGAATTTCAGCATTATTGTTAATCCTAATCAATCTTACTTGAGGAATAGAGAATGTGCTTTGAAGAGTCAATTCTTCGTCCTTTCGTTGATAACAGGTATCTGTGGCCTTATTTGTTTTGCCAGACCCAATTTTCAATGACAGCAGTCATACTATTAATTTTGGACTGAACCAGTATTGAGCAGGGGGTGGAAGGACCTCTTGGTGCAATAGATGACGCAAAACTACGCTGATCGGTTCGAATAGTTGAATTGCGACCGTAAGGTATGGCTCTAGTGTCTTTATTGCAAGGGCTACAACCCATTAAACTCTTCCCTCATAAGCTTTGATCTGGTTTTGCAGGGAATTGCAGTAGTTGCCATTACCTGAAATAAGGCAACTCTGGTTGATTTATCTGCTTAGTTATAAGCACCAACCCAGTTTTGAAGCATCGGTCTCAACACATTGAAGGGTTTTTGAGAAATCTGGCCATAAGCCTTAAAAAACTAGAGCAAGAAATTATGGCAGCTTTTCAGGGGCATCAAAGAGGCTTCGTGCTTGTGGAGTTCCACTGAAATCAACAGTTTGTTTCCTTCTTTAATAGGCTGAGGTTAGCGCGATAAACTCAAAACACTTGATCAATGCGTCCATAATTCTATGAAGCGCCCTCGATTGAGTACCCATGTCAGATAACCCAACAAACCTCCCTGTGATAGGCTTTAATAGACTCGGAAAATGGTATTGCCACATCTCGTCAGATGCTGAAATACTATTCAAAAGGTTCCATGGAAACACCCTTGGGAGGAGAATGATTAAATGTCCCCAAGTATTTCCCAGGAGAAATTCTGCCAAAAGAGCACTTTTGGGCATTTCAAGTTTACATAGAATGGCCCTCTGTATGAGTCAGCTTAAATACAAGGTTCGTAGGTGGGTAGTAGTTTGCGTGTCTGCCTGCACGAACGTGGACTAGTAAAAAACCCAAATATCCGCTCACATCAAAAAAATATACCAATTAACAAACCTTGCACGTAAGTCTCGCCGCGAAAAAATATGCCCGTTTCCATAACTGCTTTGGAATTGCCGCTGGGGAGGTTGTGTTAATGCCGAAACGGCAGCTGTGAATTACCTAGAGAAAATTCATTTATTGCCCTGAAGATGGCTGCAGGAAAGAGACCGTTTGCTGAATTATCCAGAAAGAGTAAGGCCACTAGTATTTGATAAATCCCTGTTTCAAATCCAGCTGTCCGTAGAAGAGATGGTCTCCGTTGTAGTTCGTCAAGCAATTTAGGTTGAATAACGGAATAGGGTATTGATGATGAGGAATAGTATGTTCTGCTGAAGTTGGCGATAGTCGACACAAAAATCCGCCAGCTTCCGTTCTTTCTTCTTAACCCAATAAACTGGAACTAAGAATGCGACTAGAGCTTGGCGCTTGATGATCCAACAGAAAGCATATCAGCAATTCTTCTCACTTTCATCCCTTTTGGAGCATGCCCACTATCTGTAAGGCATTTACTTGAATAGACCCTGTCCAGGTTGAAAGTATTGATTTCTGTGGTCTTATGTGACAGCTGGGGGAAGGTGTTTTAAGTCATCAAAAGATTGTAGGGAATTTCGATTGTAGCTTGCTGGAGTTGCTTGAGATTGGATAGAGGGAGAGCGCTTTTGAATTTGCTGGAATAAATGTTGTAAGGTTTGCAGATAATCTCCATAAAAATTCCAAAAAAAATTCTAATGTCAATTCAATAGCTACAACTTGCAGATGGGACTATAATGGAAAGACTGTATGAGAACGGGACA